TCTTTTGATAGCCGGGCACCATCAGCTTTCTTCACCACATTTGCTTATTCACCCGCTTTGAAGGACCCTGTCTTACAGGAGACAGGAAAACCTGTTCATCTCACATGCTCGCTGGCACTTTTCCCTCCCAACTCGTTTCTCAGAAGGTTTTAAGGAAGGACAGGTGGCATTAGGGAGCGTGCCCAATCCAAGGGGTCCTGCCAATGAGCAGTTGCTTGGTGGAAAGCACCTCTGCGGGGTAGTTAGAGGCCAGGGACCCTAGCCTTCCCTTTGTCACTAACTAGGCACAATGCGGACATTGCCCTGACCTCTCCAAGTCTGTATTGCCTCACCACTGATGCTTCTCAGAGCGCTGTCAGCGCCCATCCCCATTGGAATCCCCTGCTGATCCAGATAACGTGTGTGCCTTTAGCCCCAAGCCACTTTTACTGAAGTGAAATCTCTGCGGGGGGTGGGAGAGGGGAGGGTGCCAGAACCTACATTTTATTTAGCAAGTCCGATCACATGATTTTCCACATTTTTTGCAGTCCCCTGAGTTTGCATCTCCTGCCAAACTGAACTCATTCCTGGCAAAGGACTTCTAATGGACAGATTTATTAAGCAAACAAACAAGTGAACCACAAGACACCTGCTTCTCATCTCTTATCCCAACCCGATCCTGAATCCTCCCCAGTTCTATCAAAAGCTGAAGAAATTGTATTCGCAGGAAGCATTCTGGGCTATCTAGGACTATGTAACAGGATGCAGAAGGCAGAGGGTAAAGAAAGGGGAAACAGCATTTGATTCTCTTTCTCTTTAAAGTGTTCAGACACAGAGATGTCACGCTGGTGACTAAGGGACACCTGACACGAGCATACAGAAGCTGGCCGATGAATAAGGAGGACCAAAGGGTCTATGCATTTGGATTATGGTGCTGGCAAAGACCATGAAAGTGCCAGAAGAACAAACAACCGACTCAGCCAGAATGTTCTTCATGTTATCAGGAGAAAAGAGCCCCTGGAGAATGACAACATGCTTGAGAAACTAAAGCATCATTGAAAAAGAGAAAGACCTTCTGGAGATGCATTAGCACAGTAGTTTTAACAATGGGGTCAACCATAGGAGCGATTGTGAGCATGGGGCAGGACCAAGCCGTGTTTCCCCCACTGTGGGTCAGAACCGATGGCTTCCACAGCACCTATTGGCCACCACAAGCTCACTCTTTGACGATCGCCTGTCTCGTCTACTGGAATGCCCACCAGGTCCCACAGTATCGGACGGGAGAAGATCGAGAGCATCGGGAGAGGAAGTTGGGTCTTGGCTTCACCCTCTGAAAATGGAAATGTTGCCATTGGTAGCTGCTGTCAAGTTGGCCCTGACTGAAGGCAATCCTGTGTGCAATGGAACAAAACCCTGCCCAGTGCTGTGCCCGTCCCACGATGGCTGGCAGTCACCTCATTCAGATCCACAGGGTTTTCTTCACTGATGAGTTTTCGAAACAGATCTCCAGATCTTCTTGTCCTAGTCTGTCTTAGTCTGGAAGGCCTGCTAAAACCTGGTCACATCACAGTACCATCCAAGCCTCCAATGGCAGGTGGCCTGTGATGTACACTGGCTAGGAGTTGAGCCCAGGTGTCCCATAGGAAAGGCAACAGTTCTATCGTGGAACCATCACTACCTTCAGAATTGAAATACTGGACTTAACCTTCTCATCTTTTCTAGCTCGATTTCTCTATGATTTTATGCAGTTCGCTTCTATCAGTCAACTGTCACAATAATAATAATAATACTGTATACAATGTTATTACTTGGACCAATCCATATAAGCATTTTTCATTTCATTTGAGAATGAGTCTCCTGATCTTACAGATGAAGGACCAAGGTGCACATTTGAAGGAGGTGCGTGACCAGCCACAGGTCACCCAGCTGGTAGAACTGCCCTCCATGGAGCGTGTGAGGCATTACTTGTGTGCTTCTTCATGTCCTCTCGGCCACAGCACCCTCCAGCCAGTGCTGCTGGGCAGGACGGGGGCTCCCACCAGCCGTGTGCATGGCCCCCTTATCACTCCCTATATTGGCTGTCCAGAGTTCCTCTGACCCTGCTGCCAGGCGGCCCACAAGATCCGAGTCAACACATAAGCAATACAACCAAGGAGGCTGGCCATTAAATCTTATGGGACTTACTTCTCCTTGAGCCCCCCTTGACCAGTAGGGAAGGAGAGCTGGGAAGACTGCTTCCTTAGCTTGCTCTGACAGGTGGTTCTGAGCATCCTTGTATAAGCTCCTCAGTGGGGCATGCATTTACTT